ATGTTTTATATTCTGTATCGCTTTTGTTTTCATGCCTTTGTAATCTTCCTTAATGTGAATTTATACATAATGTTTTTTTATGTATATTGAAGCACTTGAGATGACTACCTTTCAAGACAGTCCCCCCAAAAAATAAAGCTGTATCGTCATCATCATCACTTGGAATTAATAGCCGAGAGACATGCCAGATGCCCCTGGGACCCTCCCTGCCAGTTCACAAACACCCCTAATCAAGAGATTTGTGCTCGCAGCCCCTGAGAGAATAGATCTTTTTGCAAAGCCCTTACCATACTGTAATTGAATGACAGATGGGGACTATTTGTGCTCTGTTTATCCCACATCAAAGTGATAAAACTTGCTGTAAATAAGATGTCTAAAATTGCATGGTGAGTTCCTTCAGGAAGGACAAAGCTGCAATTTGGGCCTGTGGAACTCGAGCAGAGATAAGCTGTGAGGAATGCCATCCATCACTGGATGCGGGAAGGGCTCCAGTTCTTCTCACTGGTACCAGCAGCCTGATACCACACTGCTATCGTCGCCCTTGTCTCTGTATTCCTTTTCCTTTCTGTTTTGTTCTTCCAATTGTCTATCGATTTTCATCTAGATAAAAATGCGCAGGAGAGGCATTACATGCTGTAGCAACACTTATCTTAAAGACTACAAATTGTTTAAAAAAAAGGAAACAAACCGAGAGAGACAAAGTGTCGTGTGACTGAACAGAGGCAAAGGCAAAGAGGCAGGAAAAGTCACAACAAAGATAAGAGATTACTGGGATGCTGTTTCACTCCACCTACACTGTCTTGCTTTCTCTTCTTACCTAAAACCTCTGGTATTTATTTCAGTGAGATGCAACAATCAAATTCAGTAGCTGTAAATTGTTGTACAATTGTGTCACGGATTAGACATCCACTGCACACATGAAGAGTGCAGCCATCCCTGCCCCTCCTGGGGTTCTGTTCTGCTCGCCTGTGAGCTCTGCTCCCCTCCATAGACAGTGGATAACTCCACCATGCCAGAAGAGAAGGGACAGCTTTACCCTTTTCAAAATATTAGAGGGGGGTGACATCATTCTGAAACTGGTTCGGAGGATAAGCCCTGTTACACACACGGCCGATATCCGTCACCTCCACACGAGGTATCCAGAGCAAGGAGAGAGGTCACCTGTGGATGACTCTTCCTAAATACCCTGAACCATCTGGCCAGCAGTCATTGCCGCTCTGGCACCCTTCCCTCTCCTTTTCTTCATACAGTATGAAGCTTACCAGTGCACGTCCACAGGGCTGGCGTGAGGCGGTAAACACCACTAAGGCACTAGTAAGCCCTTTGTAAGTGCCACTTAACCCCAAGAATGGAGTTCTAAAGTTCTCTGAGGGCTGGGGAGGGTGGCAAGGCTGTTACCTGGGCTTGAGATAATAGGTCGCATCCTTAGACAATGTTTCTGTTATGTGGAAGTAACAGACGGCACTTTTCTACATTCAACGTTATCTGCCAGGTGCTTGTCTAGTGATGAATTTAATCATTTCAACTTCCTCTGTCACTTCTGCAGCTTTTGATAATCCTCCTATTTTGGTACATGAATAGTTTACTAAATTAGATCAATGATATTAACTAGAGTGGTGATCCTAGCACAGATCCCTGTGGTACTCCATTAACTACGTTGCTCCAATTTGAGCATCCAGCTCCTGTCTCCTATCTCTTTTGAACTTGAACTTTATTGCCATATGTACCCGGTACATGCACTGGTACAATGGAATTCTTACTTACAGAAAGTTTCTCGATTGTTAAGACAAGTGTAAAAACACAAACCTCAGACAGTGCATCAAGGCAATATACAAACAAACTAGAAAACGTACAAGTAAACAAGTAAAGAGTTTGAATGTAAACAATGACTGGAGATGTGCAATAAATTAGAAATCATAATGAGGTAGATGGTGATGGTGTAGGTATGGTCCGAGGGGCATGGCTAAATGTGTTCACCAATCGCACTGCTTGTGGATAGAAACTATTGAGGAATCTGGTGGTAAGTGTCTGTATGCTTTTGTATCTCTTGCCTGAGGGCAGTGGGGTGAAGAGCTCATGCCCGGGGTGGTGACTGTCCTCTGTGATGGCTAGAATTCTACCATGGCAGCAGTCCTCATAGAGCTGTTTAATCTCGGTGAGACCACAGCCAATGATTTACTACTCATTAACAAGTTCTTAGCCCTAAAATATGCATTACCATGAATGCTCATCAATGTCAATATAAGGCTTTTTTATAAAATCTTGAATATAAGTCTTCTGAAACTCATTGTGATCATTTTCTAACTGCTTACTCTTGGCAAAGGGTCATGATGGAAATAGGCTGAGACTAGACCAGACTCCCTTTCCCCAGCAACAGTCTCCAGTCTCTTCCTGTGGGACTCCCTAGTGCTTCCAAGCCAGCTGAGAGATATAACCCCTCTAGCCTGTCCTTGGTCTGCCCCAGGGTCTCTTCCCAGTGGGTCGTGCCTGGTATATCTCCAGTGGGATGCTCTATCCGGAGGATCAGCGTCTCTACTCCAAAGTCCTCCCAGACGACCTAGCAACCCTACAGAAAAATCTAATTTCCACCACATGTACCCATGATCACATTCTTTCAGTCACTACCCAGAGCTCGTGACCATAGTTGAGGATAGGAACGTAGGTCGACTGGAAAACCGAGAGCTTCTTCTGAAAACTCAGCTCATGTTTCCCTTGAATGTCCCAGGGAGCCTTAGAGCTATCCTGTCAAGAGGGAAGTTTTGTGCTCCTGGTAAAGTTACCCTTGGCAAATCAGCCTAAGACCATATGAAGAACAATCAAAACTCCACTCCTGCCATGATTCAACTAAAACCTTAGAGAACCCTGCCCAGATTAGAGACACCAGGACCCACCCCTGGAGCCAGGCCTATGAGTGGTGCTCACCAGTTCAGTCACAGATGTAGACGGACTCAGCCTTTGGAATCTCTAAATATAAAAATAAATCAATTTCCACTGCTGCTTGTTTGAAGAACTTTTTCTTCATTGTTCAAAAAGACTAGACTGAGGTCCTCTGGTTTGGGATTGTTGCTGGGGTGGGAAAGCACATCATAAGGGGAGTGGGGCATAACTGTTGTTCTTGCTTGTTTTTAATCTTTGTACTGTTGGCACAGATCAGAACTCTAAAAGGAAAACTCGCTGACCCCTGATATATTAATTCCAAGCAACTCCCATTAGAAACACCGCAGACAGACTTCAGACTCTGCCCCCAGCACAGACATTGAGTTTACTGATTAAAGAGAAGAGACTGATGGTAAAAGCACCAAGAAAACAATAATTTCAGACACTATGCAAACACCCAAGAAGTTACTCAGAGGTGAAAAAGGCCAATATCCTTTTTTCATTACCTAGTGCCAAACACATGGGGTGAGCAGGGGTGTATCTATGGTTCCTTGTGCACTGAAATAAAGACTGCAGTAATCCGTTTTCTGCTTATTGATATAATCAATCTGCCTAATTTCATTCCCTTAGCACAAAATGCTATTTAGCTGTTAGATGCAAAGACACGAGAGGTTATGCACACTGATGCCAGATGATTTAGCTATTAATGCTAACTCCTTAGTGAGTGTACCTTGATAACATATCTTATACTGCTTTGGTCTGCAAAACTACAGTATCTGTCACATCACACTTAACCTCTTCTTATATTGATGTGTGAGGTACTGTACACATCAATACCCCAGGTTTTTCTCTTGTTGTGTGCGAGGGGTTTTATTTCTGCTCATCCTCTAATTTCAGATGTGTTTTAAACTTCACTATGGAGGTCTTCTTTTGAACGGGACAGTGGTGCCTACAGTGGAAGCTTAAGGATGGAATTGCAGGCAGCTATGCTGTCAGAGTGCACAGATTGGGTTTTAGCACTGTCCTGCTTTTCTCTCTTTTCAGTGTGAGCAAAAAGCATATCTTTCTAGTTGATGGTATTCCAAAAGTATTGCTAAAAGTTGGAACATAAACATTGTACATAAACATAAACATTGAACATAAACATTTTAGACCTAGCACAGTTCTTAAGGTATATGATGTATTCTGACCAAAGGAAAATTGCCTCAGTCCTATTAAAGATATACTTTACTATCAGTCAATCACTAAATCAAAAGTGCAATTTAAGTTTATCTTAAGAAGCAGTATCTTGATAAGAGACATTATATTCAAGGCATGGATAAATTCGAGGTTTGTCAATGTAAAAACAATTTAAGACGTTTGAGAACTCAAGAAAGCTATCAGTTTAGGGCGATTGCCATCTGAGAGAAAAACAATCGACTGGTACTGTTCTAACCGTGACTGTTTTTATTACTTTTCGGCACTATAACAGAGAAACATATAATAGCCAAATCATGCCTGAAGAGTCGTTATTCAAGGATGTAATGAAACCTTCAAAAAACAATCCAAAGAATATAACAGACACAGACCAATGCTCAGTGACTTCGTGCTGGGAAACCCAATACAAAGAGACCAGAGTTGTGATACAGTAAGTGAGACTAGACAAGAGTTACAGCTGTACCTGTACGAGAGGGATTACAATTTCTTCAAAAACATTGTATAGTAATTTTGCCCACTCGGTTTGGATTCCACCATTTTCTTTACATCAATGACTAACACTCAGGGGTGAATGAACCTCCCCTGGCCTGCCTGCCTGAGGAGCTGAGAACATCTTCTGACAAACTGCAAGATCTGACAGGAGAGCCAGCAGCAAATGGAGGAGTCTTGCACTTCCCTGCTGGTGTATGCCAGCTGATTTAACCCAGACGCAGGAGTTGTGGTTTCTCAGACATTGGAGAGAGGAAAAAACCAAATCCCTGGAGAACTCATTCCCACCAGACTCCCAGTGGCACTCTTATCAATTGGGCTCTTTCACGTGGAGAATCAGGGTCACAGTCAGCTAATGACACGACAACGGGAAGTTGAGAGTGTTAATGAGTGTTACTACTGAACCTGTCACGTCCCATGACTGAACACCCTCTTACCTGCGGCAGCCCCACGGCGAAGCCAATGCCCAGTGATGCTCCAATGTTGTCCTCCAGCCACAGATGAAGGGCATGGATACAGCCTCTCACATAGATCACCCCATCCAAATCCACGCGCTGCACAGAGAGATCCACACACAGGGAAACACATCAGAATTCGACTGTGGAGCAGATTCGTCCCTTTTGGGAATCGTAGAATTTAGTGTGTGTGTGTATGAGAAAGGTTTCATTATAAATCTGGTGAAGCTTTGCTAAGGAATAAAGGCAGGCACCTGTTGTGTGGAATTTCTGCAGAGAGTATACAGTACTGTATGTGACATTTCAGAGCAAATGGAAGGTGAGGATAAATGTTGTAAAAAATACTATTGTACTATTATGGTTTTCTTTATGCAATTTCTAAATACATATGCTAGAGTTTCTCTTTCCTAAACATGGCATTTATGATAATACAAGAGATTGACGGGGGCTGTTCAGATTCAGATAATAAAAACCCTTTGAGAATGACGGTATATAGAGCATAACAGGAAAATGCACTTTTGTGTGTTCCTGTTCGTTCTCCAAAAATGGCTTTTTGTAACAGATTAAAACTCCTCTCGAACCTTCACAGAACTGCGCTGTGACTTCTTGCAATCCTACGGTGTGAAGTGTGAAGATCAGTCAGCTATTTGACATGAGCCAAAAACATCTGCGGGGAGACTGTGCTTCTGACAGACTGGGGGGAACTTTGTCTCACCTCTGACCAGCTCATCACACTTGTCATTTTGCATGAAAAAGGTTCAAGGATGTGAGATTTAAGCAATATTATATCACTGTGGAGCCATGATCAGGAACTTCCAGTCACTTTCAGAGGTGATCTTGGCAACCAAGAGGTGGCAGATTATTGGTTATGGCTTTGAACTCAACACCACTTAACAAATTCAGGGTCCTATTATTGTTATACTCTTCAACAAGCTATCTTACCCAACCGATGGAGCTGTGTTCAAGGGTAACAGCTTTGCTAGTGTTTATTGTGATGGTCTAGTATAATCAAAGATTTGAAGGCACAGAATCAATACACTCCTGAATCTGTGGAGAACGTGTTGGAAATTAAAACAGCTGGAAAACGCCTGACTGCGAAGTCTTGCACTCTAAGCATGCACGGCGATTGTGATTGAAAAAGCCAGGGACCACACTGACCAGCTGGGTGTCAAAGTGTCTCATTCTCACCTCTCTGTTCAGAGTCTTGTATCCACACAGCGTGTTGACCACCTCTCTTGCAGCCTGTCTCAAAGAAACACCGCAGCAGGAGTGTTATAGAGGAACATTAGACCACTGATCATGTCACACTTAAGAGCTACAGGAAGGGAGAAAACCCAAAGGACTTACAAAATAAAAAATTACATTAAGACAGAGAAAACGTATTTATACCACATTTCAAATAGAAACATGTTCTGAATAGCTCCACAGTTTTGTATTCACAGTGTCTCTCCATGGGTTCCATTCCTTCATTTTCATGAACAGAGAGAAAACAACGAGGTTTTTTAAAAGTGGATATTATTTAACACCCCCGCCCCCGGAAACAACAGGGTGAGAATCGAGAACCTTTTTCTCCTAAAAAAGTGAGTTGTATCCTTTTGTATTTCAACTAAAACCTTGTGCTGAAAGGGAGGTCGCCTAATTGCTCTGCCAACTGGTGCGCACTGTCAGAGCAGCTTGCCAAATGGGTTTTAATACCAGTAGTGAGCAGACGATTAAGCGCACATATCCCGGTTCACAAAGTGCAACCTGCTGCAAAACCAGAATGAAGACTCATTGCAGGTGACAAACTGCAGGCTCTTAAACAAACTGTAAACATAAATGAGAAAAGGCTTACAGTATCTGTAGACATAAATAGATACATAATATTTCTAATGTGCAATTTTAAAATCATTTTATCTTCACATTCAACAATGTAGTTTTACTCTAAATAAGGTAGTGAAAAAACTGTGCTCGACACATGCCTTTTTCACAACCCAGTGCAATCCATGACTTGAGAAATTATGTATAATCAAAATACTAACCTGTGGATATATTGTCAAGGTAAATAATGTCAAGTGTGAAGTGCATTGGTGCTTTCGTAACAGATTTTTCCTTATTAATGAAATTCTGTACCACCCAAACTTCAATGAATTTTAATAACCAGTTTACATTCATATACTTTTCATCCCAAAAGACACCAAAGTAATTTGGATAAACTGGGGGATCAACTTCATCCTCCACTGAAGAGCATCATTCAACTGGGAGACATGGGGAAACAACCATTCTATGCCAGCAGCCTTACTACACAGAAGACTGAGCGGAGAATTGATAAATTACTTCACCAATCCCAGGGCGAAATTCAGAGACGCAGTACTATTCTAGCCTGGAGTGGAAAGTAACCAGAACACTGGAGTTAACACCTGTATTCTTATAAACATCACATGGGATCTGCTATCATTCGAGTACTGACCAGTTCCACCCTTGCTTAGTTACCGAGATGTGACAAAGACGGGCTACAAGGTGATTACACTGCTCTTACATACAGTACATTTTGAAACGTACCCTCTTTTCCCTTTGGCACACAAATAGATAGCATGAAACATTAACAACCAGAGTTAATTTACCAGCAGCTGGTAAAACTCAAAAAGGTTCCCGTAGCTGTGCAATAGGAGTCTAATTGCCATCCCAGCAAGCATCACCCTTGAAACTCCTCACAGAGATACTTCTGTCTCTCTTGAACATAGAAAAGATGGACTTCCTATAGACTTCATCTAATCTATCCCTGTAATAGGAAAATTACTCAGTAACTGAATCAAAAGAGCAAGCAATTCCGTCTGACTCGCCAGAATCTGAGCCAGACAGCAGGAGCCTTTTCTAAATTAATATTTTTTTAGAAGCCCGACGTTGTTTTCCTTCACTCCTGCTGCTCACACTACCTTTTAATAATCCACATACCTACTGCACCCTGCCCCCACAGCTCTCTTTCGGATTGCTTGCGTCAGAAGCAGCTATTATAGATAGTAGAGGGCTATTTTCCCAGCCTGACATTAAGAGCTAGAGATCTGGAGCTGAGAAAACGACAGGGTTTGGGCCCTCACGGGCAACACTCATAAAAGCAGGATTCCGGCTTCCATCCTTCACAGACATAAAACCACCTGATGCTTCCCCAAAATAATAAAAAAAAGAAGTTTTAAACGTTTGAGTGCGGAGAAGTGTCAGCTCACCAGCTGCAAAGGGACAAGTACAGATTAATTCCACAGAAAGAAGTGGACTTCCACAGATATCAGAAACAAGGAGAAGCGCCTCAAACCTGAAGATGTCTTTAGTTTTATTTTGGAGCAATGAGACTATGATTCTAATGTGTGGATTACACTCATTTTGACACAAACAGTAATTAAGAGAAAAATCGAAGTCTGTCTTTTTAAACTTTATACCAGAAGGGGTAGGCAGCACAATGTGATGGTGTTCAGCATTGTGTGCCTGTCTGTGTGGAGTTTGCATGCTAACCCCATGTGAGAAGTGACTGGCTGCTCCAGACTGCTCCCACAACCCAGAGACGTTATGTTTTTTTGGCTATCCAAAATTATTCTAGTAGAACTTCTCCCTCTCATGTGAAAATCACCTGGTCTCCTTAGCTCATTACCTAACCATCATGGTGTATGGCATAAGCTGTATGTGTTTGGGAGCAGATGGGCCGATTAGGAGTGGCAAATATTGTCCTCCAAGGGCAGAGGACAAGAATGAGCAATTATTTTAGACACTGATCTTACAATGGCTAGTGTTACTTTCCCAAGAAGTTTAATGTTCATTAAAGTGCAGCTTAAATGCCATAGCATAGGTTAATAAGATAAAACAAAGATGTTAAGAGGATTAGCTGTGCAAACAGAACCCTTGAATAGGGGAGAAGCCGGATGACTGGCAGATGATGACAGAGAGCTCACTACAGGGATCTCCTGCGATGCGAAAAGCATTTAAAAATAAGGACTCATTAGCTGTCTGACTGGAGTTTATCTGGAATACCGACGGTAGTTTGAGCAGGACGCATTGCCCAGTTATGTGAAACGGTGCTGAGCAGGTCTGGTGAGAGGTGGGACAGTAAATGCTAAACCTGTTAATTCATTCGGACAGCTCATTCCTCTCTCCTGCCGCCCGTCACAAATGTAGTTCAACATCACCAATCACAGAACAGCAAATCGATGCACCAGCCACTTGTTCAATAATTGCACCTGCAGTGGAACCCTCAGCCACACACTTGCATGACATTCAAGGCAATTTATATGATACAGCAGCCTTTATGTAGAGCTCTTTACAGAGCGCGTGGGCACGGGGAAGAGGAAAAACTCCCAGTGGGATAAAATAAGCCCCACAGTTGCCCCTCTCCAGGAAATCAGTCTCCAATAATCAATAATCATAATAGATCTTGGACAGTCTCTGAAAAGCCTTAAGATCCTTGCAAAGACACATGTACACCCACACATATGCATCCTGTATCTGAACCAAGGTTAATCAGCTAATTACTATTAAACATACAGTAATCCTGATGTATTTGAGTTTTTTGAACACCCACTCATCCAACTAGTGGTAGTGAAGGAATTACCTATTGCAGGATACAAGCTGCCAATATCTTTTTGGCTCCCTCTTTTCTGATTCTCTACTGGGCTTTCTCTCGCAGCCATTATTATTATCATCATACAGAAGTGACAAATGAATTCACTGCGCTAAACAGGAGTCTACTGTGAAACCCACAGGCTAGCAGCATGAGGCTACCACTGAAAGCAATACAGGCTGTACATGTGTGGCACACTACTTCACATCATCAGGTTTTGGATGCTATCCCGTGGGATTCTGTCCCACTCTTTTCATAGTGCATGAAAAAGGCTGTTCACTGGTCTCTGATCCCTAGAGGCCACATGTCATCCCAGTTCAACCCATGAATGTTCAACGGAGTTCATGTCTGGGAAATTGGGCAATCCCAGAATAACTGTCACACTCTTGTCATGCAAGAAAGCTGTAACACAAGCAGCACAAGGACACGTCATCCTGCTGGAAGCTGGAATGCCATCGTTCCAGGTTGTGCTCACAGGTAGGGGAACAAGCCAAAGGCCCCAGGACCTGAGCAATGTAGCACCATTCAGTCAGGCTGCCAAGAATCACTACAAATGGAGGCCAGTCACTCCTGCCAAGACCATCATGCTTTGACCTACCCATTAACCTTCATGAAGCGTCATGAATATGGTCTCCCAAATGGTGGCACATCATTGACATACAGTGATAGGTGGCAACGTCTTGCCAGGTTAGAAGGTTCTGGCTGCAAATACTCCAGGCACCAGTGCTAAAACTTTATCCAGTATGCATTATGCTGATGGCTTGAAGGCCATGTTCTTGGTTTCTTGGTTTTCACCAGTCTTGATATTTAACAAGTTAAATCACCTGACCCACATCAATTGAGTGCTTGTGCAAAATCACTCAAAATCAATATTGGTGCAGTTTCTCCTGGTCCATCATCCAATTATAATTTCACTAATGAGGTGATTTTGTGCTTGTTGAACACGCAGTCATGAATGATCAATTAGTCAAAATTACACCAAACGTTTAATTCATATTCAAAATCAGTATATTTTATCTTTCACCTACTCATGCATAATTAGAGCAATGGGTTTCTATTGATGCTAAATATACTGCTAACTCAGACATGACATTGGAAGATGTAAGCTGGGAGACAAAGGATGAAGGGTAAGATGGCTTTTTTTAAATCTAACAAGCTTTTTTTGTAAGAGACACTTCCTGAAACCAACACATCAAATTCCCCATTAATGAGTAACTTTGATTTGGTTGATAAAACACAATAAGAGCAAAACAGCAGTGATATTTCGATTACTGCCGAAGGCTCAGTAACCCCAGTCACAATGTATTCTTTTTGTGAAATTCAGCAAGTCTGAACTACAAATGCAAGCAGTGCTGGAAACCGTCTAAGCCAGACGTATGCAGTATTTGTCTCACCAAAAATCTTCTATTCCCATAGTGACCTTGACTGTACAAATCAGCCACAGTCAGCGAGGGCCTGATGTCTGTTTATTTGGAAATGGACCTTTCAGTTCCAATAGAAAGCTTCACCTCCTTGCCCTGTTGCAGCAAGAGTGAGAAAGGCAATTTTATTGAAAACACAATGCTCTACTACTCCCTCCAATTTCTCTTCCTGTCTGCCTCAATCCCTCTCTGACCAAACAGAACATTCACTGGCCTACAGCCTGAGTCAGATGTCCCTTGACAGAGACAAGTGTTCTGTAGCGAAGGACAACTCCATCTAAAACTTCCGCTATCAAAGGCTGGAAAAAAATTACCCGGCATCACTGCTGTGCCATTTCCTAGTAAATGTTTTCCCTGAATGCTTTTATCATCATTTCTGCACCTATGAAAATGGGAGGAGGAGGGGTAGTGTTGGGGGAAGCTTTAAATTAAAATACCTTAAAAAACAAGGGAATACTTTTTCACCACTCTCTTATGTGTGGTGCAGCTTCCAGGCCATTTAATAATGGCCTGTGCCATTATTAAAGACTATCATGGTCCATCTGAGTGCAGCTTTTGCCCTTTCCTCTGTGTATCTCAGATTAATTCTGTTCCATTTCCAAGTTTGCATCATGCTTTGCAATTAATCCATACTCTATCAGGGTTTACCAATGTTTTCAATCGGCTTCTCTACACCTGCCTACGATTATACCAGGGAATATCATGGTTAATATAAAGAAAAGCAGCCCTACAGGTAGTCTTGAGTATAAATGGTAAAAGAGTACATTGTGGGGTGAAAGGCCTGCTGCTAAAACTGTTTATGGAATGAATCCCTACCTGCTCTTCTCATTCTTTGCACTTCCTCAAGTTTTCAGGCTTGTGAATTCTAAACTTGGGGCTTTGCAGGCATCAGCTTGCCATCAATGCAGGGCCGTCACCTGTAACATCTACAGCTCCAGCGTTAGCAGAAAAAAAAAGGCTATTTGAGGGTCAGCGAAACCCTGGACACACAAAATTAGAGTCTCCTAAACCCCTGAATGATAAACTCCCAAGGTAAACAGCCTTCCGGAGTGCCTGCCGAAACATTGGCTAGCAGTATGTATCGGCACCGCTAATCATAGTTTCTTTCTCTTGCTGCCCAGACACACAAAGCAGAACAAGATTACCGGGAGATGAACAAATCCCCGAGAGGCTGTCTATGCTGATCAAGATCAAACAGCATCTGTGACTCCTGCCTTATATCATTCAACAAAGCAGATACCTGCTGTCACTCACACACCAACAGCAGATACCTGCCCAAATTAAATACAAGATATTTAAAGATCGCTGATATATTTGGAGTAAATCTGAGTAAACAGATCAGTAAATCTAAAATATAAAAACAGTACATAGCTAATCAATAAAAGCCTACCTAGAAAGACTTTGTGCACATTTCTCACCTTAGAGAAGCAGGGCTCATTGCCATTACAGAAATGCACTAGTGCTACTCAAACTTGAACTTTAATGAAGTTTAAACTCAAGCTTTAATGAAGAACCACTACGTTCCATACTCTCCGTTTCTTATATATGATGCTTTTTAAAAGTGCGCAGCAAAATCAAAATACAATCTATGAAAAACAAAACCAAGATTTGTCCTGTCATTGGTCCACGTACAGTATGTGTGAATTTGGGGATTCTCTTGGGCTGAAGACATGTGGTCGAAATTCTGTGTGCAAAAGATGTAATAGCTTGTGGAACATCGTACTACTGCTTTTGACCTTTCTCTTCTATTCTAGACAAAAGAAAAATAAACAAATAAACAGACCAATAAAACATAAAATCAGACGTGTATAAGGAACAAGACATACAACATTCAGATGTACAGGAGTGTTTTAAAAACCCACATGCCAGGAAAGTGTTATTTTACATCCCATATGAGCTACACAGAAAGACTTTCTGCGATACAAGTCGGAAAAAAATGGGAATTCAGTGGTTCCTGTGAGCGATGCGGTGATTGAACACCTAACACATCTGCACTGGTCTCAAGACACAGAGGTACCATTTTTGAAATAGCCACATGCTGCTTCTGCTGTGAAGTGAGAGCAATCTTGCAAAACACTAGGCTTTCTGTAGCATCATATCAGCAGGTTGCCAAAATACAGCAGACACTCAGGGGAGAATATTAAAACATGTTAATTTTACTGAATCCGGGAGAGCAGTGGTGAGGAGAAGAGGGGAAAAAAAACACATCATTGATGGGGGAAGCCTTCCTTCCCAGCTAAGCTTACTGGCAAAACTCCAAAGACATTATTTTCATGGAGAATTTAAACTGAGGAAAAGGAGGGATCAATTAAAAGCAGGACATTTTCGTCTGGAGATACACAGTTTACAATTAATCATACGATCAGCGCATTCACGGCAGTACATCAGACATTCAGCAGATTTGCAGAGGCTTCTTCAGAACAAAATTCCCTTCACTGAGTGCAGCAGAGGCACCTAGGCTGGCCAGAAGAGGGAGCCACTGAGAGAAGGCTAATGTTCCCATGCTGCAAAATGGCTAATAGGCTTCACTGCATAGTTTTAGATTTTCACCAAATCAATCACTGTCACTAGACTGACAGAAGAAGAAATGCCTCCTGTTTTAGCTTTTAAATGCCTTTCTACATTACTACTTGTGCCACTTGGTTCATGTTTCACTGTTCATTCTGCAGAAATGTGCTGGGCTGACTTGATTACAATCTTTGAGGATTTTGAATACTTAAAGCAGGTCTCGTTGGAGTCTTCTCTGCTCCCGACTAAAAAGACTCAGTATTTTCTGGTGTATCGGGTCACTATTCTGTGCACTGATTCCTGTGAAGCAACTGTCTTTTCTATAACACTGTACTTCGACAAAACTGTACACAATATTCCAATGAGGCCTTACTAATGCATTATACAATTTTAAAAGATCATTTAAATTCAATGCGTTTAATTCTAGAACATAGCTCCTATCTCCTCTTGAACAGTCAGTCTGCTGAAAACATAAAAAACTCCCCATACACCTACACATTTCCTCTCTTCAGACTCTGGCCTGGTTTCACTTTCCAGTATGGGAGTTCAATCACTGGGAGACCCTGGGAAACTGGATGTTTTGAATACAGTAAACAAATGAGAAATTACAACAAGACAATATCCCTAGATAGGGCTGATTCAGTTAAATGACTAAAGCCCGGTACATTACTTTCTGTTTAATTTCATTAGAGATTTGAAGAGATCTTTTTGATTTAAATGTGAGATTGCTGGCTCTGACGCTTCCTGTTAGAAGATGAGTTATTGACAAAAAATGCATATCTGTGGGAGCTGCTGCAGAATGGCTTGTATCCCAAGCTGCATTGCATTTCTGAGTGGGCTCTTGCAGGACATGTTTCTCACGCCAAGCTGCTCTCTTCCAATCATCTGCGAGTCAAAAAGTTTGAGAACGGCAGAAATGTAATGTCTGTGTTGTTTCTTTGCACATGCTTCCTGACAAACACACATTCTGACTTATAAATTATGCTAAGTAGAGACTCAAAATGCACAGGAAAAAAGGATGTGAAATTGATTATAGGAACTGATACATCAGCAATGGTTTACAGTTTCTTGGACAGGAGTAAATGGGGGAGGGGAATCGGGGATTAATAAATGACACACTCTCCCATTTCTCTGCTTGACTTCACTGAAATTAAATTGGCAGCAGAAAGACAAGATCCCCTGAGCAAGTCTGACAAAACCAGCAGCTTGACAATTTAAATATTTTCCCCCATTATTCAGAAAACTGGAATATATGCTGTTTTCTTTTGAGGAAAATGTTAAAGATATTCAAGCGTTTTGAAGAAAACTAAAATTTCTCCTGCTGATCGTATTGACTCTGATATGGGAGGAATATTACAAAACCGAGCGTGACCTTTTCTTAATCTGACTAGAGATTACTGAGAAAATCTCCCACAGTCAGTTATGTAAAGAAAACGCTAAAACACTACTGGGCAATAAAGCACCCCAAATCAAATCTATTAATAGCCTAGTCTTCGATCTCAACCAGCTAACGAGCGCTTTACTGGATTATGAAGTAATTATCTTTTGTTTGTCACGAAGGAGGTTTTCCTGGGCGTGTGGCCTGCAAGGAGACGACCAACAGAAATAATTAAATAACGACCCTGGCAATCTCTTAAACCACAGCTCTATTATTTTAGCAACAGAATAAACCCTCTTCATACTGATGACTCCCAGAAGGACAGAGGTGAGCAATTGTGACTTACCCTCTAACACTGCTGGGTTAGAGGAGTTGCAAGGGTTTCTGCTAATACACAGTAAGCTAATAGCCACAAAGCCTCGTCAAATACCACAGGAACACTCTATACAAGATCCTGAAAGAGATAATTAGACCCAGGGAGAGGCCTCATAGAAGATGCCAAACTGAGAAGGTGGCAGGAATGATACCAATAAAAACATTTGAAGATGAGCTTCTGTGTATAACTAGAAATGTTCAATCAGGCAGCAGATTGAAGAGTTCTGATGACAACCACCACAGGAACAGCAACTATCGTATGGATGTCCTCTGTGCTTTGATGCAGAAACGGTAATCTCAGCCTTGTTGATTTCCTATAGTAAAAAGGAATTATTGCTTATGCTTTTTGTGCATTCTCCAGTTATTCGAGTTTGTTGCCACTATCACAGTTAGACTATTACAGAAACTCTAGACATGCTTTTCCATGATGATTGGGGGGTAGGAGATATTCATAAGAACCTTTAGCAATGCACCATGTTGAGGATGCATAGTAGTCACTTCTAAATTGGGCACTTTTCTTAAAAATTAGAATTTTCTTAAAGTGCACCAGAGGATGACGCACTTTAACATTCATAAAAATGCACACTTGTGTATGCTATTCCTGTGAGAACTGCAGACCACTGTATTCCCAACACCCCCACTAAAGAATCCAAAGAATGATCCTCTCGGATCCCCATTTACAACAGCAACCCAAATTTTTCTTTGTGCGACATTTAAATATTACCCCTCCAGACATCCTGTAGTTCACAGAATGGCAAGCTTCTAGCACAAGTGCTAGCAAGGGGCAGGGTGTTCAGGGCTCACCTTGTGTCGCACACAGCAGGTGTAGGGCACGCCGCAGGCCAGCGGGCCTGTCCCGTTACAGAAGTGATACTGGTTGATGCCCCAGTCCTGGTATTCATCTCCTCCACAGCATGAGAACTGGCTCCGCCAACAGGGGAAGGTTTGAAGGCAAGAAAAAAAAAAAGAGACAGAGGAAATGAACCAAAATGAACCAAAAGCTTTTGTCCTCAAATTGTACAGAACTACAAAGCATGAATAATTAACACTCCACCCTGATTTTACATAAAATAATTATTAATTTGCTCTGGCAGATACCTCTCCATCAATTAAAAGGAATATTTTTGTTGTTTTTAAATACACATAAAACCATTCATTTCTCAAAAATCTAAAACATATTTCTTACTCAGTTGACACACTAAGATGATGACAGTGCTTTTCAGTTAATACCAGCAGTGAATCTGGGTCTTTTACAGATCCTCATAATTACAGTACAAAAGCTGTGCCCCATGTGGGATTTGAACCTGCAGGCTTCTACTGCTATGTCCAGAAGCTTCTCCACTAATCCATAACACCACCACATTATTTCAACTATTCTTCTTGGAAAGGTAATCTCTTAAACAATAACTCCTTTTCACTTCATCTGAGCTCTGCTACTTATTTGTACAATATGCTTAATTCCACTCATTCATCTACTTCTTCAATTGTTTCTTTTAGAACTTAAGCAGCTAATTGTCTGGGCACCAGCAAGAGCATCTTGACATTTACAACTTTCTTAGGAGTTGAAAATAAAGTAAATTATTGGTTAGTCGTTCCTCTTGCTCAATTAAGGGCTGAACTGAGCGACAGTGAGCAGAGTTGAAATGAACACCAGCAGACATACCTGAAAAACCTTTACTTCACCCATTAACTATTCATAATTGGGTTCTGAGGTCAAATGGAAAGGAGAAGACCCTGAAGAGGAACCCAAATGTATTTGCTCCGCATTACCAGACCCAGACAGTGCCGGTGTCGCTCAGGCCGAGCCCCAGGATCCCAGCCCTGTGCAGAACCACTCCATGCTGACGCACAGCCAGGTGCTCCGAGGTGACAATCATTCCTCAGGCATGTGAAGGCAATCCTGGGAGCGCTGGGAGTTAATTACTGTGATGAATGTGCCCACGCTCCCTTCCTCGCACTCCTGCGACTCCCAATTAACCTTTTAACAAGGCGATGAACTGGGTGACACTTCCAACATTATTATAGAATCGTTCAATTTCCTTCTCTGCCGCGGGAGTCACACTGAGTGGAAGTGAACCTCATTGCAGACATATTTTTATAAACTTTTTTTTGTTCTTGTTTCTATCATTACGCCACTGATGGATGTCTCTGTGACTAATGTAATGAAGCTATAATTACAGCCAGACAGTCTGGTGATGTCAGCAGTCCTGCAGTAGAAACTGAACATATCTGAAGTTTTCCTCGGGCATATGGATCCATGGCGAAATGATCCACTTTAGGTAGTTTCATGAATTCTTGAAAGCAATGGACTCACAAGCACCTTCGTGATCTCCCAGCTGCCACTGATAAACCATACTTCACACTGACAATGCAATTTCACAAGTGTACCCACAAACCAGTCTGCTGCTGCTTGTGCCAGAGCTGTCTCTCGCGGTCAACAGCGTTGACCTCGCAAGCACACAGGGTGCAGAGGCAACTGCAGACACTACTAGTGTCACAGTGTTATGGGATGCTAGATTTAAATGTTGATACTTTTTGCACACTTGGAAGCTCAGATTTCAGCGATTTTCACATAGGGAAGCAACACACCTCTAAGGCAGACACTGAAAAACTGCAGCATGAAATAGATTACATCAAGCCCTTGGAGCTGTCGAAAAAGGCACCAGTGCCCAGACTAGAGTACGGAGTCATACTGTAACTCATTTTACATGCTAAAGGCACCACAGCACCTGAAAGGAGGGCAGCACCTCTCTCACTGAGTGCCTGTTGTCACCTCACAGAAGTTGCTATTTGCCAGAAAGCCAGGAGAAGCCAGCGCTTTTAATCCCAAGCCCATACCAGAGGCATTCTGCTAATTACATGCCACCATGTGAAAAATCAGCTGGTGACACGGCAACCATAACCTCAATACAGGATTTTAAACCTACCTGAGAAACCACCACACCACTTTTTTAAAGATTTTTTTTTAATTACATTTTGCATGTAGCATCTCATTTACAGACAGCTATTACAACCATCAATTCATTTTCTAACTGCTTTATCCAATACGTAGTCATAGGGGCACCGGAGCCTATCCCAGCAAGCAACAGGGTGCAATGCAGGGTACACCCTGGATGGCACACAGTCGATCGCAGAACAGATATATACACAGACACAAACACACACACTCTCACCAGGGCCAATTTTCCCAGAAGTCAAATAAAACCTACCAGTATGTCTTTGGGCTGTGATCACTGGGAGGAAACCCTTATGAACATGGGCAGGAACATACAAACTCCACGCAGACAGCACCCCAGGAATTGAAGCCAAAGGCTCCTGCCCTGCAGGGCAGCAATGCTGACCACTGTGCCTCTACAGCCATCACATGATTTTGCTAAACTTCAAAACCATAGCCCAAAAAGAAAAACAATGAACAAACAATTTAAATAGTAAGATGACAAATTAACATTGATATAATTAGAAGCAACTTCACCAGACAAAACGTTTAGAAAGGAACAAGCCTTTGAAAACACAAAAATCAATAAATGCACTCCCATAACTGACAGCTGCACTGTTTGTTTTCCAGCCATAATCCACAACAATGGCTGTACTCTCCTTTGAGATAATTTGCCATGGGACTCCAGTGCAGCTTCTCTTAATTTCCCTGCCTTTCCTTCCCCCTGATTGCTTGAGAGTTATTAAAGGAGAGTTCTCAAGTGCACAGCCAGAAAGACCAGATGCGCCAGCACAGTCACGATTAGCATTTCTTTTTTAAAGGTCGAGACTGATATTGCTTTTTTTTTATCACTGTCAAAGCAAAAGCCAGTCTAACACAAACAGTAATCAGAGGGGTATTGTGAAAGATGAATCCTCTTGTACTGCACATTGATCTTCAATTGATAACCCAGCAAGTCTACATGCAAACCTGTGACCCAGGGGATGGACAGCTCACCCCATCACTGTAGTCACTCATGTCGTGGACAGATGGGTTAATGGAAACGATAAGGACTACAGGTGAGGGGAAAAAGCTCAAACTGGAGTCCTTTTATATTTATAGTACATATTTTATTGTGTTTGGGAAAAATGAAATTTGTTCACAATAAACTGGGGTGAATTCATTAGTGGAGTACTACAGGGATGTATAAGCACCACTGCTCTTCCCGATTTATATCAACGATCTAGATCTAGGTTTGCAGGGATAGTAAAATTAGGAGGATTGTCAAAAACTATAGAGGAAGTTCAAAAAGATCAAATTCAGCACTGGGAAAACATTCAATGTTATCAATATCATCATAAATAATAAGAAGAATTCCTTATATTTATATAGTGCTTTTCTGGACATTCCACTCAAAGAGCTTTACAGGTAATCCCCTCAACCTTCACCAATGCTCAGCTCCACCTGGATGATCCACCAGTACTTGCACTACACATCAGCTATCAGTGAGAAGAAGAAACCAGTTCATAGATGTGGATTGTTAGGAGGCCATGACTGGTAAAGGCCAATGGGGAAATTGGCCAGGACACTGGGGTTACACCCCTACTCTTTTCAAGAAACACCCTGGGATTTTTAATGACCATAGAGAGTCAGGACTTTGATTTTACGTCTCATATGAAGGACGGCGCCTTTTTACAGTATAGTGTCCCCGTCACTATACTGGGGCATTAGGACCCACATGGATCACAGGATGAGTGCCCCCTGCTGGCCCCACTAACACCTCTTCCAGCAGCAACCTTAGCTTTCCCAGGAGGTCTCCCATCCAGGTACTGGCCAGGCTCACACCGGCTGAGCTTCAGGGAGTTGCCAGTAGTGAGGTGCAGGGTGATATGGCTGCTGACCACATAATAAGATGGGAAAAAATAGGTATATAGTCAAAAAAGAAGAATTTTAAGGATGCTGTGTTAAAATTGCACTATTGCACTTTTATGACCACATTTATGACCAGCAGCCATATCACCCTGCAACTCACAACTGGCAA